CTTGTATGGGCTCAGACCTGGACCTTCATGGCCATTCCTTCTCGATCTCAGTATGGAGATCAGGAAGGAAAGGAAGGCTCACCTGAGCTGGAGGTGCTATGGCCAGAAAGATAACGTTCATTGAGACGACCTCGCGATGTCACTTCCTTAGTCCGCTTAGTCCGGCCAACGTGTTGTTGGTGTTTTTTCAATGTATGCTTCAGACATGGGTCACGACGAGGTGTTTCCCCATAGCGACCCCTAGAGGATGCAGTTCGAAGTTCCCATGAAAGGGAACAGCAGTATAACTGTAAAACAGAGGAATTGATGGATCAGAGGAAAAGAGACTAATTGCCAACCTTAAAACATTTATCTTAACAAAAAATTTGAGAAAAACCTCACACATAGATGAAGACACATCAGGGAGAGAACAAACAGGAGGGTTGATAGTGGCATTAATGATGTTAAAAATATTTTTCGGTTTATGACAGTTTTTAATAATTATTTCAGTAAAATACCTTGATTTGGCTGCTTTTTCCTCTTTCTGATATTGAGACAGTGAGTCTCTCAGCATTTCAAAAGAAACCTGAAATTTGTTCCTTTTACGCTCCGCTCTTCTAAAAATCTGCCAGAGAGAGTTTATAGAATCATTACTCCAAGGCTTAGATCTTGGTTTATGATGTAGTGCCTTTAGAGGAGCAACTCAATCTAAAACAAACAAAAGAACGCATGACTCAGACCCAGACTCCCAGACTCGGGAGGTGAAATAATAATTTTTCTTTCCGGTACAGACAGCATAGCTGTCTATGGGGCTGTCATGTGATGTCATGCGAACGACTCGAACCCTTTGGCCCTGGCCCAAATTGCACCCTAAAACCTGACGGTCTTCCTTTGAGTCCACACTTTCATGATGTAATGGCACTTTTACTGTCGGGTAGAAGTCTGCCGCAGAGCTCACCTCAGTGTGCATCGAGGGCACATAGCGGCTGCAAAGGTAAAATGATGAATGGGACACACCCTACGATCTAGAGCACTTAACGGACACGTGCATGTGGCGGCCATTGTAAGTCTGCAAGACCGCAAGTGCATATGAAGTGTACCATTTGGGACACGGCCTTAGATTCGAAAAGTGAACTAATCATTTCTGTTTCCTGTAAAGAACCAAAAGAATGTTGTGTATGCGCGGTCAACACAAAATGAACGAATCCCTCACTGAGACGACTCGATGTTCCCCAGACTACATGAAGAAATTCAAAAGTGATATATCCTCCAGTTGCTCTTTTTGTGATGACTCTATTGAAACGTTCATTTACAAAGACATTTTGGAAAGATGTTTTAGGTTTCATTAGGAGTAAAATGTATGAGTCTGTCCTGTTTTGGAAGGACGTGATGCTGGTCAGTCTGGTCAGAGTATGAACAGTCTAATAAATAACAGTTTTATGTAGTGAATCTGATTTTGCTGCTTGCAAAATTCCACATTGACAGATGCAAAATATTCAAACTCCAGACCTCTCTTTTTTGTTTTCATGAAAGAATTTGAGCAATACCTTTTATTGATCCAATTGTCTAAGAACAAAATAGTTTAAAAATTGTATCTGTTTGTAACTCTTTTCCTATCTTTAATGACGTAATTGTCAAATAGTTTTTTCCCCAGTTTGTAATGTATTAAACACACCCTTTTTTATTTTTATTTTTTATTTTGTTGTCATTGTCAACATCATTTTTATTTGTTGATATTTGTATTACTGTTTATATACTGTTTTTGAGCATAAAAAAAAAAACAAAACCCGATGTTCCAGAGTCATATTAAAGATTCGTTCAAACTGAACAACACATCACTACATACCAGGATGTTACAACATCAGCACGAGACCACAGATCAAGTCACGGTTTAGGAGAGGTACATCCAGTTGATCGTTTCATTTCATGCAACTTTCTCACTAGATTATTCAACTTGCCTAGTAAAGATGTATAGTTTAATTTTTGTGTGTTTTCTTAAGTTTAAGAAGTTAAAGTGTAACCCAGTGTATTATGATTTAATATTAATCCATTATGTTAAAGAATCATTATTCACATGGATACCACACCATATTAAGTAGGGCTGGGTTTTGACACAAATTGCACAGTTTGATTCGATTTTGATTCATAAGCTTGCAATTTGATTCAATTTCAATTCAATATCAATTATTTTGGATATATATCAGGTACAGTAAATTGCAAATTTTCTCAAAGAAAAAAAAATCTAAACAAATAATGTACAATATACATGCCTGGTTTGTATACAAACACTTAAATTACACTCAGTGAAGTTTTAATAATAATAAAGTTATGATAATAACTTTACAATAGCATAACTCTATTTCTACTCCAATTCGTTTTTTTTTAATATAAACATTTAAAAGGTGGCTGTCATAAAAAAAAAAAACTTGGATTTATTTAAACATAAATTAAATATTGAAGATTATAAATACATTCTATGGTGCATATATTTAGCAAAATGTTCCTCTCTAGGGTTCATTTTTCTTGCTGACTAACGAGTACATATATGGCCACTTCTTTAGCTGGTCAGGCTAACATTATTACAAAACAAAGTACATTATTCAAATATAGACATATCCTGTAATAGCACAAATAAATGCACAGCCATCTGCATTTGTACCCTGTACAGAAAATATAACTGAACAAGCTGTTGTGGTTAATGCTACCCCAGATAGTCAAGCAGTGTGAAAGCAACGGTGATCTGACGACTTCGAAAATCGTGCAGTGTGAACTCGGCATTACATGTCAGTTGTTTTCTGTGTTTCCCTTGACCTAGATTTCCTTAATTATGTCATTCTGTTCACCTGTAAATAATCAATTACCTTGTTAATCATCTCGTTTGCTCCTTTGTTTTCCTGTGTATAAATGCCCTCAGTTTCTATCTGGTCTGCGTCCTGGATTGAGTCGAGTTTATGTGTTTGTATGTTCTCCTGGTGATTTTCCTGTCCTTTGTATTAGAAGTTGGCATTAAAGGACTATTATTGTTTACTACGGCGCTTACTGTTACAGTTGCATGTTTAATAACTTTTGAGGTTCATGCCATGCAAAAAATTATAAAGTTACATACGAACGATGATCCAGCTTTTAATTAGTGTTTGTTGAGGTGCAGTTACATGAAATTCGATTTATGTGTACCATTCCACATAAGCTACGCTATTAGAACCATATTAAATATATAGTTCAGTCATAAAACTCTAGATGGCGCATTCTGACGGGGTGTTAACGTAACTGATGATATTCAGAGAGTTAAATGACTTGGCACAAGCTGATTGGTTCATGCTGCATATGCAGCCAATGAGCTTACTGCCTTGCATTTATATGGCTGGCTAGCATTCACTTGAGATTCCTGCAGCGCGCTTTCGGAGTTCTCTGAAACCCTCCACCATCCCCAGCTCCACCTGTATAGATCTGCTATGGTTATGATAATAACTTTACAATAGCATAACTCTATTTCTACTCCAATTCGTTTTTTTTTAATATAAACATTTAAAAGGTGGCTGTCATAAAAAAAAAAAACTTGGATTTATTTAAACATAAATTAAATATTGAAGATTATAAATACATTCTATGGTGCATATATTTAGCAAAATGTTCCTCTCTAGGGTTCATTTTTCTTGCTGACTAACGAGTACATATATGGCCACTTCTTTAGCTGGTCAGGCTAACATTATTACAAAACAAAGTACATTATTCAAATATAGACATATCCTGTAATAGCACAAATAAATGCACAGCCATCTGCATTTGTACCCTGTACAGAAAATATAACTGAACAAGCTGTTGTGGTTAATGCTACCCCAGATAGTCAAGCAGTGTGAAAGCAACGGTGATCTGACGACTTCGAAAATCGTGCAGTGTGAACTCGGCATTACATGTCAGTTGTTTTCTGTGTTTCCCTTGACCTAGATTTCCTTAATTATGTCATTCTGTTCACCTGTAAATAATCAATTACCTTGTTAATCATCTCGTTTGCTCCTTTGTTTTCCTGTGTATAAATGCCCTCAGTTTCTATCTGGTCTGCGTCCTGGATTGAGTCGAGTTTATGTGTTTGTATGTTCTCCTGGTGATTTTCCTGTCCTTTGTATTAGAAGTTGGCATTAAAGGACTATTATTGTTTACTACGGCGCTTACTGTTACAGTTGCATGTTTAATAACTTTTGAGGTTCATGCCATGCAAAAAATTATAAAGTTACATACGAACGATGATCCAGCTTTTAATTAGTGTTTGTTGAGGTGCAGTTACATGAAATTCGATTTATGTGTACCATTCCACATAAGCTACGCTATTAGAACCATATTAAATATATAGTTCAGTCATAAAACTCTAGATGGCGCATTCTGACGGGGTGTTAACGTAACTGATGATATTCAGAGAGTTAAACGGCTTGGCACAAGCTGATTGGTTCATGCTGCATATGCAGCCAATGAGCTTACTGCCTTGCATTTATATGGCTGGCTAGCATTCACTTGAGATTCCTGCAGCGCGCTTTCGGAGTTCTCTGAAACCCTCCACCATCCCCAGCTCCACCTGTATAGATCTGCTATGGGGTTATTTTATATGCTATTTGTGCAGCAGCAGCATGTCTTAAATACTCACGGCACCGTATCGCCATATGCATTGGCAGTAGCAAGGTCCAGTACTTGCTTGCAGCAGCAGCAATAATCTACAACTACAGCAATAACCAACAGCAGCAGCAATTCAGTGGCAGCGAAGCAGATCTGTTGCGCCAAGACCAAATACATTAACATTGTCATATCCATGACATGCTAAAATGTTCCGAGAGTTGTCATGATTGAAATGGTTTTCTCTAGATTTTAAGCATTTTTTATTTATTTATTTGTATACATTTTTTGGACACACCAAAGAAATCACTGGATCTTGAAAAAAAAAAAATTCTTATGCATTGTTAAACGTTGTTGTTATTGTTCTGGTGTTATGGCAGAATTTAAATATTCAAAACGAGACAGTTGTTAAAGTTGCCGTGTAAGTTTTATTAATGTTTTCTGAATACTTTGGGAATAAAATGCACATGAAAAGAGTGGATCATGATTAACTGTAGCATGAAATATATGAATTGACAATTATGAAGGAACACAAATGTAGTAGAGCTAAACATGTCTCTTGCACAGTTCAGTGCTAGAAGTTCTTCAGTCAAAGGACATTCAAACCTCAGTTACACTGAATGGCTGGAATGGTGTCCCAACTAGAGTCTTGAGCATTCTTTTCAAGTAGAAAATGTTTCACAGCCAAATGATAATTATATGTATCAGTGTAACACATTATGTGAAAAGTAATTAAATCAAAAGGAAGAAGCAGTTTCTAAACACTGCAATGTTTCTATGACACAGGTTTGATCTTCATTCTGATGGATTTCATACCAACATTGCGATTCGTCCACGTTGGCCAAACATTCCCTATACCGATACTGGTGTCTTCTTCTCCCCATATATACACACCGTTGGGGTTTGTTTTCACAGCCATACAGTTTTTGTACCAAAATGCCCCAAGATGAAGTTTGGCACAGTTATTTTGATTGTCGTCTTGGTCTTTGTCTAAGGTTGTGAACTTCTGTCCATCATGCTCAGATAAAGAGTCGCCTGCAGAGAGGAAGAGCATCATTGAGAACAATTGCTCTAAAGAAATGACTTTTCCTGAGAATAAACAGTGTTGGGTAAATTACTTTAAGAAAGTAATTAATTACTGGCTACTACTGACATCTACAACAGTGTATTTAGATTACTGTAGAGATTATTCTCTCTAAAAAGTATTGCATTACTATAATCCCATATTAACAGTAACCAAAATTAACCAGCTGAACAATACGTGAAAAGGATAGACATGAAATTGTAGCTTATAATTCTTATAAATAATATAAAATTACATCAGTTATCCTTGAACTAACCACAAGGAGAAGGTTACATTCAAAACACACATTTTAACACTAAAAGTTATATTTTGATGTTAAATCCACTGTTGTTTTATACAGAATTGTTCTATAGTGTATACAGTATTTAATGCAATTACAACAGAAGAAACTGTTAAATTACAGAAAAAAATAAGAGTAATCCCATATTTTTTTCAAGGGAAAAGTAATTAAATCATAGTAATTATTTACTTAGTAAAGCATTACACTCAACACTGAGTATAAATAAAAGCGTCCTACCTGCTCCTCTATCAGTGAATCCTGAAACTTGTAGTTTATAGCCATCAGCTTCAGGACCCACAGAGAAGGATGAGTACAGAGCGAAACCTTTCCTTCCTTCAAAGTCCTCCAGATCCACTCTCAGCATGTACTTGTTCTTACGTGTCAGCTGGTACATGTTCTCCAGCCCTGATCATACACACACATGAAGAACACCTTCAACCAAACACTGGACATGAACATCCACACAAACACACACACGCTGTGAGATCTTACCCAGCCAGTATTCTCCCTCCACATTCCCAAATCCTCTCTTGTACTGATTCCACGGCCGATAGAAATTCACACTGCCGTCCATTCTCCTCTGAATCACCTGTGATGGGTTTATAGAGAATATATGATTCATAATGAATGTGCTGATGTGTGTTTAATGATCTAGAATCACGTTCGTACCGTCCATGCTCCGTTGTCTTCATTGTTCCCATCTGAGATCATCTCACAGTAAACTGAGACAGGAATGTCTCCTGCTGGATAGATGGCATAAGTCCCATTGACTGTTTGTTCTGAGCTATAAAGGTCAGAACAGTCTTTTTCATCCTGACTGCATTCATTCATCAGTACAACCGGAAGAAGAGCTGCTAAAAACACCAACATCTACACGAGACACCGAGAGAGAAAGAGATGAACATCACACTGAAAACATCTCTAGGAATGTAGAGTTATTGATGAACTTACTGCCATCTTCTCAAACTCTCCTCAGTAGATCACAGCAGAGATCTGTTTTATCTAGACGAAAATTACAGAAATGTTTTTATATTGTCTATTTTAATATATATATTTTTTTCTGAAAGTTGTATTAATGTCTGAATATTCTAAGGTAAATTGTGAATAAAGCAGTAACTCACCGTGTGTGTTCTTCAGTCTGACACAAACACTCTTTGTATCTGTCAGATTCTCAGGCTCCTCCTCTGTGTTACAGAATACATTTACATTACAAAGACACATATTTTGGAGGCAAATTAAATGCAAGTTAAACCTGCAGTCACAAGCTGTGGCTTGTGGCAATGGGCTTGCAGTGCTTTGGCCCCGAACTGTTGCTTTTTCCCATCTATATTCTACTTCTTCTTATTATTATTCTTGAATGGAAGTCTATGGCAATCCATACACTTTGGCCAAAAGTTGTGAAAATTGACACTCAGATAGAGAGCCTAGCGGTTGTTTTTTCCTAAGCTCATGAAACTTAGCTGTGATTCTCATGTATCTCTAATTTTAGTTTCAAAGATGTTTGTGCTAAAATTTCTTAGGAGAAATACAAGTATAGATACAGTTGAGACATGAGGAAATTCTGAGACATAAGAGTCCAAAATGAGAATGTAGTGGGAGAAACATGGGCGATCTCTTTACTGTCTCGCTGTAACCTCTTCCAAAACTCCATTATAAAAATGTTTCATTGCTCAGAGGTTGGTCTGTCTTTAAGTTACATTGGGGTTTTTCACTAAATAAGTGTTTGAAGTGTAAGATAAATGTTTTCCTTTAACAAATGTAACACTTGTGTAAACCATTTTCTCCTCTTGTTTGTTTAACACTGAAAAGTTTGTCTTGTTAAACCCATTTTGCATGCATGTAAATATAAGTCATGACTTCCTTACATACAATAATAGAATAGAGCTGTGCAGTTTATGTGCATTTAGGGCACATTATTTGTTCTTGGAAATAATTGTGTACCAGATGCTTTTATCAAAACTGACTAACAATTCTTGACTACTTTGATTTGTACTGAGACATTTGAGTTGGTGCACACTTTGTAAAGTTGTTGAGATCACTTCTAAACACATGTGAGAGCACCATAGTCTCTAGCAAAGGAGGAAGGTCTGAGCACAGTGTGTGTTGTTGACATCTCTTCTAAACTTTAACAGGAAACCAATGTGAGAGTATTAGAGTTTTAACTGAATGGTCCTCAAATGCAGCCTCTGAATTGGGACACAACTATAGACGAAACAGACCTGCCAGGAACGTCTCAAAATACACACACTCAAATCCATTCAGCATGTAAAACATTCAAACCTTTGTGTGCACACTTATGTGAATAGTGTTTTGCATTTGTGAATCGCATTTTGTGAATGTAAATGTGGTTATGAATTTATTCATTGCTGCAGTTTATCGAAGTTTATTGTTCATTCGTTTAATTTGCAAATTTAAATTTAAAAAAACATTTTTTTTGTTTTCTCATTATGGGGTATGGAGTATAGATTTCTGTGACTAAATAAGTGAAAGCGTTTTAGCATATGGTTGCAACATAACGTTTAACAAAAAAAAAAAAAAGAATACTTTGGCCAGGTAAAAGTCTTATCAGTACAGTTGGAAAAGCTGTGGAAATTCATTGAGCCTGATGAGAATTGTCCAAAAATAAGACACATCTGCACGCAAAATGAAAATAGTATTACAAATGAGCATTTACAAGCTGTATTTTAGAAATCTTTGCTGGAAGTTGGTGTGCTCTGTGCTCCTGTGTCGATTCTCTTCAGTGGGAATAGATATATGAGACATGAACTGTGTCTAGCTGACTTCTATGCTGTTAGGGTCTAGGCCATGATAGAGAATGCGCTCACACACACTCAGGGCCGCTGCTGGCCAAATGGGTACCCTAAGCAGAATTGTAGGCCTATTGTTGTGCCCCCTCCCTCAAATTGATTGATTTTATTGTCTCAAGCATTCAGAAATCACACAAAAGGAAATTAAGCAGTTTTACTACGATAAAACCATGGTTAATTTTTGTAAGGGTTGTAATGTCCACATATTTTTGTTGAAGAAATTATAGACGCTGTAGCATTTCTATCGCAAAGGCCAAAAATGAATGATTAAGTGGCTATTTGGAATAAACGTTTGGTCAATATTAAGGATTTGATCGTCTTGTAAGTGTAACAACAGCAATTACCAGGCCTTCGGCACCTTTTGCAGGCATTTGTAATGTAAAGTACATAGCCTACATTGTTTATTTTGTATTACATTATGTATTTTAACAGTGTTATTCAATGAAACCTTATGATTATTATTAATTAACCAATCATTATTGCCTCATTGTTTTTATATAATGCATTTTAAGTCATGGAAACTAGAATATTAAGGCAGATGCGTTGTTGGTGAAATTATTACCGACATTAAAACACGTTATTACGACAACAGCCAAAAAAGTTTCAAAGGATTATGAACGTAAGTTACCTGAAAGTGATGCACAGGCTTCATCTTGGGCTTTTTTTTCATTTTTCTTTTGTCTGCTGATGTCTTTTTCCGTTCATAGTTGTCTATCAATCATGATCATTTGCTTTCAGCCGCAAACATGAGGTGAGGTGCGAGCGGGCGCGAATGCGGGACTGGCGCGTCACGTGTGCTTAGCCTACTGCCTACTGCGTTCATCGTAAAATGCATTTTTTAATATATAATTATATATATATATATATATATAGAGAGAGAGAGAGATATAGATATATATAGATATATATCTATATATATAGATAGATAGATGTTCATGTGTCTATTTTTATTTATCTATATGTTAAAAAACTTTTTTTGAGCAACTGGGATGATGCCCCCCTGAGAGTTGGTGCCCTATGCAAACTGCGTACTCTGCGTATAGGGAGCGGCAGTACTGCACACACTCACATAAATGAACTGGTTGAAGTATAATATTAATACTCATTAAACATGTTTACACACACACACACATTTTGTTGTGGATATATATATTTAAAATAAATGACAGGTAACAAAATGCTTACTGAAAGTCTTCTCTTTATATGTATTTTTCATTTTATAATCTGGCATAATTACAAAAAAAATGTCTGTATAAATAAAGTGGTAAACTTGGAATAAATTTGATTTTAAATTGAATAAAAATGGAAAAGTACTATATTGGGGAGTTGATAGAGCCCGTTAGTGGTCCTCTGCTGCCATGTAGTGGTTATAATTGCAATTTCAGGGAATTTACCAAGGAAATATCATTTTTATGCTTTATTACTATTGTGCTGCCAGTTTTTATCCAAGTTAGGCAAAGATATCTCATTCCATTCAAAAGTTAAAGCCGTTTTAGTAAAGGTGGCCCTGCTCCTTACGAACGTTTTGGCGTCCCTTTGCGATGGTGAGTCGAAAGTTCAACTTTTTTATTTTGATCATTATTGATATTTACTCTCCAGAGAATCTTTCTACACTGGTTTGGTTTCGAGTGGGCGAAAAACCTAGTTCGCAAATGTAGGTTTTCCAAAATTCCTGAAAATTTCGCCAGGGTGACGATCGAATCCGAGGCATGTGTTTTGTCCATCGTGAGTCAAGGATTCCAAAGACATAAGACACTTGCACCGGCAACTAACAGTTTAGGAGTTATGAGCGATTTCATACTTTTGATCGCTGTAGCTCCCCTGTCAGGCCGATTGGGGCGAGCCTTGCTGAAGTTGTAGACGGTGTGAGTCTCTATGACTTATCCTTGTCCATTCAAACAATTACAATAGGGTTTCAGCACTACACTTGAAACCCTTATAAAAAATGTGTCGTCTGATATCCACAAGATGGCGCAACAGCTTGTCTTACAGTAAAATGTTACCAGGTACCTGAGTAGGTTGTGTTTAACCCATCCAAGTGCACACACACAGTAGTGAACAAACACACACAGTGAACACACACCCGGAGCAGTGGGCAGCCATATTGCTGTGGCACACAGGGAGCAGTTGGGGGTTTGGTGCCTTGCTCAAGGGTCTCACCTCAGTCGTTGTATTGAAGGTGGAAGAGACCGCTGGTTATAAGTTCGACTCTCTATCCATTAGGCCAAGACTGTCCCCTAGTTGTTAGTGCTGTGCCAGAAGTGCATCCACTCAGAACAGTGAATTCACTTAAAAAAAGAAGACGAAATGTGACTGTCTGTGTTTATTTACATAATATACGTGTGTGTACTGTGTACATTTATTATGTAAATACACAAACATGTATATATTTAAGAAAAATATGTTTTGTTTATATATAAATTATTCATATTTCTATATATTAAAAAATTATATATTAATATAAATAAATATATACATGTAAATATTTTTAAAATATATACATGTATGTGTCACGCTGTTGTTGAAGGAAGCCACACGAAGATGAAGGTAATCCAAATAACATTTAATAGTAATGCAAGATGATTAAGAGTCATACAAAACACAGGATAACACAAGCAGTATTTACATACACATAATAAATATACACAGTACACACACATATATTATGTAAATAAACACTTTTATTTTGGATGCGATTAATCATTTGACAGCACTTATAAATATATATATATATATATATATATATATATATATGTACACAGACAATATGCTTAAATGGTCAACACAATACGAGTGAACAGTTTTAGCATTTAACACATTTATTATATATCAGTTTTACAGCATATGACAGAGAATAGCCTCTGATTCACACACGCTCTTCCAAACACAGAGATAAAGTTTGTCTTTGCAGTACAAAGCTGATTCATCACTGTATATATGCAATGTGTGAGTAACTCAAAAGCCAAACACTTCTATCTTGTTTTGATTCATTATTCTTACAGGCCCATTTATATGCTTTTGAATTATGTTGTGAGCTAGTTCTTCAGTCAGCGAAACATGCCA